AACTATGGGGAAGAAGTGGGAGGGGAGCTGTTGCACTGTGGTAAATTGCAGTCAATGTCATGAGACAAAATATGTGAGCTGCTGTATGGAAAGTGAATTTGCTCTGTAAACTTTCATCCACATCACAATTAAAAAAAAAATGCAAAAAAAAATTATTGGTGTCTGGGCTTCATCCCAGACCAAGTGAATCAAAATGGGGGTGGGAAGGAGCCCAGTAACTAGTGTTTTAACAACTATTCAGGAATTCTAATGTACAGCCAGGGCTGAGTGCCGCTCAGCTAAGAAGGTTATTTCTCTAACTAGCTGAATTAAAGAATTACCGGGGATGCACAGTAAAAACATCAGCTGAGCTGATTTTTGTAGCAGGAAAGTTTAAGAAACACTGGCTCGAGGTAATCTTAAAACTTTCCCAAATTATGGGTGTTTCTAGAACTTCAGAAATTCTACTGTTGCATTTCAACCAATAATCGGGTCAGCTACATAATTTTGCATCCAAAACTTGCTTCAATAAGACAGTTCTCTTTCCAAGTGTTCGCCAAATGACATTCTCTTCCTATGTGTAATACACAAACTGTCGGCCAGGTTTTCCACAAGGGTCTAGGAAGGATGTTATCAATCCCACTTTTCATGCGAAAAACCAAGAATCAGAATCCTAAGGGCCCTATGACTCCAATTTTCATACCCCTTTCATTATACAGCCCATTCCAGAAATCACTACTTTCGGACCACTGGAGAGCTGATAAAACTCATCACCAGCCCGACTCCCAGAGCATCTGGGGTGAAGCCTGAATATGGGCATTTGTAACAAGTTCCTAGAGACTGCTGGGGCTTCCAGAACCACTAGTTTAAGCCTCCTCCTTCCAATTAAAATCACGGGAAAAGAAAAAAAAAAAAAAAAACAGTTGCCATCAAGTAGATGCCAACTCATGGTGACCTCATGTGTGCACAGCAGAACTGCATTCCATAAGGTTTTCATGACCCTTCAAGATACCTATCCAAACCAAAACCAAACTCACTGCTATCCAGTGAGAACCAACTCATAGCAACCCCTCCTTGGCTTTCCCAGGCAGTATCACTACGGATGTAGACTGCCCAACCTTCCTTCAGAGGAGTGGCTGGTGGGTTTGAACTGCCAGCCTTCTGGTTAGCAGTCATGTATGCCTTAGGCACTAGGCCACCAGAGCTCAAGATGACTGTTGTTCTTATATGCCGTCCAGTCGAATCTGCCTCACAGCGACCCCTCCTTGGGTTTCCGAGGCAGTATCACTACAGAAGTAGATTGCCCCATCTTCCTTCCGAGGAGTGGTTGGTGGGTCTGAACTGCCAGTCTTTAAGTTAGTCCTCAAGGCTTTAACTGATTGCACCACCTGGGGTGTGCGTGTGTGTTATTGTTGTTGTTATGTGCCCTCGAGTCAGACATGACTCATGGCGACCCCTCCTTGGGCTTCCGAGGCACTGCGGAAGTAGATTGCCCCATTTTCCTGTGTGTGTGGGGGGTGGGGGGGAGAAATCCTCCTTCCACTCAGGTGGTCTTTATTTTGCAGAAAACGGAGCAGCTACAGATTACTCATCTTTCTTTAGTAGTGTTCTTGAGGCTGATTTTCCCGACACACTGCACCATGCCAGAGGACAGACGTGGGACAAACAGGCTCATCTTTAGTCCCTGCTCTGGTAGCATAGTGGCTAAGGCACTTGCCTGCTAACCAGACGGCTGGCGGTTCAAACCCACCAGCCACTCCTCGGAAAGAAGGTTGGGGCAATCCTACTTCCGTAGTGATATTGCCTCGGAAACCCAAGGAGGGGTCGCTATGAGTCGGGTTTGACTCGACGGCACTTAACAACAACAACAACAAACAACAACCCAGAGACAAAGAGCCATTCTAATAGACCCGGGGAAGACTGCCAAGCCAGCAGAGAGCTTCTTCAGCTCTGAAGAGACAGTCCACCTGCTCCTTAGGTGTAGGCACCTCGGGCCTCAACGGAAGTGACTAGATGGATACCCAGGGGGCAGCTGAGGCAATGGACTCAGTGGCGCAGGAACCCTGACCTCAGACCGCTGGCATACCTCCCTGGGATCCCAAGCACTGAAGGCACACCCTCTTGTCGGCTCCTTCTAGTTCTTGCCTTGGCTCCACTCGCCAGTGTGTTCAACCTCACCTGAGAGCCCTATTCCCACTTCGCGAAACCCCGCGACAACATCCCCAAACCCTAAACTTTCTGCCCCCAGGAATCTCACCTCACCCTCTCTTACCCTAACCATTCTCCTCCGCAACCCCCAAATCCTCATTTTCCACCCCAGCTGTCTCTTTTCAACGGCATCTCTTTGTTCTCCTCACGACCACCAATTCCCATCTCCAACGAGCACTCAAGACTCAAAGACCCTCCTCACACACATATCTACTCCCTAAAACCAAATGTCCATTTCCGAAACCTCAAAAGCCAGCGGCAACTCCAATTCTCCACCCAAAGCCCTTCCCCCACCTCCAGCCTCGCCCCCCATCCAGTTAGCCAACTGCCTCTCCCTTATTATGACCGCCCCTCATCGCGCCCCTTCCTCCGGGTCCTTTCTCCTTCTACTTTGCCGCTGCCTGGCTCCCTCGGCCGCCCAAAGCCCCCAGTTAGTGGCCAGCGCCCTCCTCACCATGAAAAGTCGAAGAACGCCGGAGTCTCCAAACCTTGACTGAAGGAGGAACAAAATACCCAGCTCGCGTGAGGCGGGGCCGGGGCGGGCCTTTCCGTTGTCCGCAAACCACTTCCGCCCCTCTGAGGGTGCAGTCCTAAAGCATCCGTTGTGCTCCTAGACAGCGGCCGCGTTCCTTCTCACCTCCCTGGCCTGAATGAATTCCGCCTCTCGGGCATTGGTCGAGTTCGTGAATGCTCCGCTTTTGCAGCTGTCAGAGACGAAAATGAGGTGCAGGAAGATTTCCCTCCCCTTGTGCAGAAGCTATGCGGAACGCTTGTGTCCAGGAACTGGATACTTGTTTCCAGGCGGAGCGTTGAGCGCTAACACCCCGGGGCAAGATGGCGGTTGGGCTTCGGCCGCTGCCCCGGGACTGGAAGAGCTCGGGGGAATCGGGCTGAGTCGGTAGCCTCTGCCGCTTAGACCCCGGTCGCGGGGCCCCGAGTGGGTAAAGTCTACGACCGGCGGATAGCGAGTGGACTCAAGGTCACAAATACTCTCGGAGGTGAGGCCGGGGACCTTGATTGGGGAACGCTGGGTCTGGGTCCCCGCCTTGCCAGGTCGGAGGGGCTAGAGTTGGGGGGTAGCCTTTGCGCTCCGGGGCGGGGGGCGCTCTCGGCAGCCCGTCCCAAATCTTTTCATTTCCGTTTCTATAGTTCTTTAAAAAGGACTAATGCCGGGCGAGAAAGGTTTATTATTGTGGTTGTTGATGCCCAGGAAAGACACCAGGCCTCAGAAGTCACCCAGACAAGGGTTTGAATTCTGTCCACTTGCTGTGTCACCTTAGAAGAGTTCCCTCACTTCTTTGAGCCGCTTTTTCTTCTGTAAATTGGGTAGTAGCCCGTTTCGCAGAGCTTTGTTGTAAAATGCACTTCAGTACGTGCCTAGCACACAGTGACACCAATAGAGAAAATCCTGGCCTTGGTCGTAATTTGATTGGTTTGACCCACAAGCAGGCTTGCATTCTTAACTTCTCTTTGATTGGCTGCTCTGTGAGTCAGGAAGTCTCTAAGTTTTTGTCTGTTTCTCTTACAAACAAATAAGTAAACAATTGCTTTTGAGTCAAAAACTCCTGCGATCGAGTCGATTCTGATCATAGCGACCCCCATTGGGTTTCCCAGGCTGTAAACCTTTACTAAGTAGGTCGTCCCATCATCCTTCCATGGAGCAGCTGGTGTGTTTGAACCACTAACTTTCTGGTTATCAGCCAAACACTTTATCCACCACGCCACCAGAGCTGCTTTGAGTCAAAAGTGGTTCCAAATTCAAGAGTTTCACGACCTCAGACGAGTCCAGTCCACTCTCTGCATATGAAGGTTATGTTGATAATAGACTGTAGCCTTTAATAGATGAGAGCTATTAAGAGACAAGGGAGCTCTGATGGCATCATGGTTAAAGCATTCAGCTACTAATCAAAAGGTTGGTGGTTCAAACCCACCAGCCACTTCCATAAAATTTACAACCTTGGAAATCCTGTGCGACAGTTCTACTCTGTCCTATAGGGTCATTATGAGTCGGATTGACTCCATGGCAGTATTAAGAGACAATTGAGACCTGATAACCAAACCAAACCCGGTGCCATACAGTTAGTATTTGTGGCACTTAATCTTTGGCCAATACTTTCCTGTCATTCTCTTTCATAGTTGGCTTCATTTCTGTGTATCCACATGATTTGGACCCAGAAAAAACTAATTTGGGGCAAATCACATGGGAATACAGAGGTAGAGAGAAGTCCGAGTCCTGTCCTAGAAGACAGACATTAAAATCTTGGCTCTGCCACTTAGTAATGATCTGACCTGGGCTAGGAAACCGTTGGCTCCTTTGGCAACCCTAGATGGTAGGTTTAATTACCCTCAATTTAAATATAAGGAAACTGAGGCCTGGGGAGGATAAGTCACTTGGCAAAATGAAAGGTAGAATCAGAATTTAAAAGCATCAAGGTTACTTTCTGTAATCTAAGACTTTTTCTGGTACATACAGCTCTTTTCTTTTGTTTTCCAGGGCCTTTAGCAGAGGAAAGGCGCGCTCTGGTGGCACAGTGCCTAAGGCATTTGCTGACCAGAAGGTTGGCGGTTCAAACCCACCAGCCACTCCGCGATGGGGCAATCTGCTTCCGTAACATTTACCACCTCAGAAACCCAATGGGGGTCTCTCTGAGTTGGAATTGACTCAATGGCAGTGGGTTGGGTTGGGTTGGGCTGGGTTGGGCTGGGTTGGGCTGGGTTGGGTTTTAGCAGAGGAGGTACTTGATAGCGTGTTTTATTTGATTTCTGGGCTGCAGTAAACACTATGCCACTAGAGAAGGTGAATAAAAAAGTATTAGAAAAACTGCAAAGTACAGACTTCCATGTGATATGAACAAAAACAGAGAGAATAATTATCTTCAGGAAGGGATCTTATACTGGGAGGCCCCCTGGGAGAAGTGAAAGTTTTGAGGTAGTCTTAAAGGCACGTGGGTGCAGTTTGCATGTAGCCTTCTTTTTTTCCATTGAGAAGAGGTTCCCTCTGCCACTTCTACTCTCTCTCTCCCTTCCCTCCCCCCTTGCAGGAGGACTGTCTGTGTGGTAAGGAGAGAGCACACCACTATGCTCAAGGCCTGGAGTATTTGCCCAGTCTAAACATCAGGGTAAGTAGCAGGCTGGTGAATCTTAGTGTACCCTGAGATAGGAAAAAATTAATGGGTGAGGAGTGGGAAACGTTCTAGCATTATTTCCTTCCCAAAGAACCTTAGTGTCTGTGCAGATGGGAGCCTTTGCTGAAGAGTGTAAAAAAAATTAAAACTTTGTGTCTCTAAAAATAATACCAATTGGATTTAACGTCTGTTTGCTCTGTCAGCCACCTGGATTGGTACTTGATGTACGTCATCTAATCTAGTCCTTGTGGTCTCTGAGCCAAGTTGCATGATCTGCAGTGAACAGATGAAAGCAGGAAGGCTCTGAGATATCTCTTCCCAGGACGTGACAGGGTTGGGGACCGACTTCACTAAGTGAGCCTCCAGGGCTGTGCACCTTTCACTGTGTGCCATGTGGCCTGGCCGTGTGCTTGCTTTCTGCATGTTTTCATGAGGGTGCTCCTTTGAGTGGGAAATTTGGAGACTAGAGACCAGTTAAGGAAGCAGATAAACTCTCCCACAATTCTGCTGTCCCAAAACAACCACTGTTAACATGTTGATAGATTTCATCCCAGCCTTATAGCTATATGCACACATGCATTATTTTTCTTTCTGTAATTGGGATCATTGGTTCAAAGCTAGCTCTTTTCTTTTTTTTTTTTTTAAGGCATAAACATTATCCCATGTTGTTAGAAATGTTAAACATATTTTTATGTTTGACATATGGAGCCCTGGTGGCACAGTGGTGAAAGTGCTCAGCTGTTAACCAAAAGGTTGGCAGTTCAAACCTACCAGCTACTCTGAGGGAGAAAGACATGACAGTCTGCTTCCGTAAAGATTACAGCCTCAGAAACTCTATAGGGCAGTTCTACTCTGTCCCTTGGGTCACTGTGAATTGGAATCAACTTGATGGCAGTGGGATATTTTGGTTTTTTTTCCTTGTAATATTCCTTTGCCTTTAAGGGCTGTTCTTACCATCACAAAGCCTATAAAGCTGTAATTTTGATTTTGTAGAGAAAGACAACTTCTTTGGGGTTGTTTTCTACCTATTTCCCTTAACCTGTGAGGACTATGGGGATGTGCTCCTAACCTTCAGAGGAAACATTAATGAGAAATGACATAAAGATTGGTTTTAAAAGCCAGAGATACTGTGTTTGTTTATTACTTGTACTGAATGAGGAAAACATATGATGCCCTATAGCTGATTTTTTGCTTCTGCCAGGGTTGTAAGCCTCTCAGAAGTGAGAAGCTGCCTTCAGCTGAGTCCCGTGCGAGATCACTAATGATTACCTAGCATTTCTGCACCACAGGTCAATCCTCAGGTGAGCTCCCTGGGCTTCCACTGCTGGGGCAGAAAGAGGGAGCGATTCAGAAGAGCATCCCCGTTCTCAGCCTTCTTGCCCTTCCCCTTGGCATCAGGCAGGCTCTGTTCATTTGTCTTGAGAATTAATGATGTGAGACCCAATCGTAGAAAAGCTGTTTGACGATGTGAGTCAGTGTTAAGAAGGTGCCACAGAGCTCCCTCGATGTGGACCTGTGGGGTAGCCTCATACAAACTTTCTTTCTTTTTTTTTAATAATATTTTGTGATTTTGATGAAAGTTTGCACAGCATTTGAGGTTTCCATTCAACAGTGCCTACTCAAGTTGTTCACTGACATGCTCTGTATTTCCATTTCCATTCACCTGGTCTCCCTTACCCCTTAAGTCTCAGCTTTGTTTTCAAGTGATTGTTGACCATTTGGTCTGACCTAGGTGATTTTTTAAAGGAGCACAGTACTCATGGGTGACATTATTTTGTGAGCCAATCTGTTACTTACCTAAAAGGTGACCTCAAGGGCTAGTTTCAGGTGAAGGTTTAAAGAGTATCTTAGGACAGTAGTCTCGGGGTATCCTCCAGTCTCAACTGGTACAGTGAGTCTATTTTTTGTTGTTGTTTGGCTTTGTTCATTTTTTAGGAATTCGAGGTTCTGCTCCACTTTTTCCTCTCATTTTTTCAGGGTCCATCTCTTCTGGCCCTGGTGTACTTTGTTTTTCATGTAGGTGCTGCTTTGAGTTGAAATAACCTGGTAAAGAGACTGTTTTCTTAACAGTCTAGATTTCTGAGTAATTCCGTGTCTTGGTGAGCTGAGCGGATGTCTGCTTTGGGTAGTCTGACAAAGTTACCAAGCATCTGAAGAAATCATGGCTCCATGGACCAGTGCTAGGTTCACTAGGCTGCTAGCTGAAGCCACACCTTTGGGAAAAGACAATGACCGGTGATTTAGATACAAATACAATGTATAACTTATTGCCACTGTTCAAAGAAATGCCTGTCAGTGGATGGGAACAGTGCTACTCTAAAGTCTTCATTGGTCCTTGGCAGAATGGGAAAAATAAGAGAGCTCAATATGTTGTACATAAAATCAAATGTGTTCAATTTAATGGACTCCCTCCCATCTCTGAAATCATGTCCCTTTTGCTTTTTAAGTGTTAAAATGGCCCCTTTTTTAAAAATGAGAGACTTGTATGTGATTTTTATGTGTTGTGCACAAAGCAGACACCAGGGAATATTTGTTGAGTGGATAAATGAATAAAATAATGGTGATAATCAATAATCATGCTTGATTTTCCCTTCGAGTGTTTACTTGGCAAAATAAAAGATTACTACCCATTGTTGTTGTTAGTTGCCATCGAGTCGGCTCCAACTCATGGTGACCTTGTATATAGCAAAATGGAGCATCACCAGTCCCACACCATCTTCATGAGTGTTGGTAATGTGAGTCCACTGCTGTAGCTATTGTGTCAGTCCATACATGGGGGGGTTTCCTCTCATTTTCACTGACCTTCTCTTTTCCTGGTGTCAGCTTTCCAGTATTGCTGATTACTCCAGGAAATTCACACATCTCAAAACCTTTGATTTAAAGGAAGTTTGCATCAGAGCTTTATAAAACCAAAAAACCAAATCATTGCCATCGAGTCGTTTCTGGCTCACAGTGACCCCCATTGGGTTTCCGAAGCAGTGAATCTACAGAAGTAGATTGCCCGGTCTTCCTTCCACAGAGTGGCTGGTGGGTCTGAACTGCCAAAGTTAGCAGTGAAATGCCTTAGGCACTGCACCACCAGAGCTCCTTTCAAAGCTTTGTGGATGGGAGTAATCATATTGTGTTCATCCATTAAACTTTTACAGAGCACATACCCTATATTAGATGCTGCAGTTAAAGTAGTGAGTCACATTTAGTCCTTGCCCTGATGTGGCTGGTCTGGTAGCCTGTATCTCTCAAGAAAATGTCATCACTTAAGATGGGATAAAGCATCCCTGGTCTTGGTAAATTGTGTGAAAGGAGACAGGAACTTGGGACTTGTGCTGGGAGAGCTATTAGCATCTTGGGAGGTCCTGGAGGGTCCCTACTCACCTTTTATTCTTGAGCCCCTTTTATAGGTGCTTTTCTTGTAATGAGCTACGGCAGCTACTTGTTCTTATCCTTGCCAGGTTTGCAAATATGTTTACCGTGACTCAGACCTCGAGAGCATGGTTCATCGACAGAGCCCGCCAAGCCCGAGAAGAAAGGCTCGTGCAGAAGGAACGGGAACGGGCAGCCATTGGCATTCAGGCCCACGCACGGGGTTTTCTGTGTCGGAGACGACTGCAGAGAGAGCACAGGTGGGTGCCGGGAACTCCTCAACACACTTTTCACTCGCTCCCGATTCATAAAAAATATGTAAATGTTCTCTTACCATTCTTGAAAAGCCTTCCAGTTGTGTGAGCACTTAATTAAAATGCTTGCTTATTTATTTATTTGTTTTTGACTTCTGTCTCCCCAGGAGGGAAATTGATGAGTTTTTTAAAGCAGATGAGGATGGGTCCAGTAAAAGAAGTGCACTTTGTATTTTTAAAATTGCCCGAAAGCAGCTGTTCTTGTTTAGAATTCAAGAAGATCATGAGGTAAGAGGCTAAGAGCAAACATACACAGTGCTTACTACATGCCAGGTCTTTTTGTATGTATTTCATAAATGTTGACTCAGTCCTTACACCAACTCTAGGAGGTAGGTCCTGTGGTTGCCCATACTTCCTGTCCCTATTGTTTTCTTGGGACCTATTTTGTAGGGATTATGGGAGTTTTGTAGTATTTTCTGGGAGTTGTTAAGGTTCTTCTCAAATTGGCTGCTTCCAGGCGTTGGAAATGCAAATGCCTGCAGGAGCCAGGTAGATTCCATAGATGAGCTGACGAAGCCGTTCATGAGAAAAACCACAATACGCATCTGTGGTAACTACAATATATGCATCTAACGGACTGCAGCATTGAAGATGGCAGAGGGAATGACAGCTCTGTGGCACATCATCCAAAGGGGCCACCACTCCGGTGTTTTAGAGAGGTGCTGCGACTCCAGAGCTTTATGCTCAATGTATAATTTGTAAAAAGTGGCACCCAATTTGACATTTCTTTTAAATCTTGTAAACCCAACAAAGCATCCCAGTTTATACCTTTGGAGTTAGAATCACCAGCTTAGAAAATGTAATTCCAGGAAAGCAACTGGTTATCTGTACTAGTAATAATGCTAATAATAAGACTGGGTACCACTGAAGATTACCTATGCTGTGTAATACAGTTTACCAAGTATTTAAATAAATAAATAAATAAATAAATAAATAAAACCCAAATCCACTATTGTCAAGGAGATGCCAACTCATAGTGACCCTGTAGGACAGAGTAGAACTGCCCTATAGGATTTCCAAGGTTGGGATCTTTATGGAAGCAGACTGCCTCATCTTTCTCTCAAGAAGTAGCTGGTAGGTTTGAACTGCCGACTTTCCAGTTAGCAGCCAAGTGCTTAACCACCAGGGCTCCAGTATCAGGTGTTAGACACTCATTTGCTAATCCTCACATTTGTTTACTCAGTAACTATTGGACACCTGCTATGTGTCAGACCCTCTTTTAGGACCTGGGGCCCCAGAAGGAGACGAGACAGGCAAGGTCTCTCCCCTTATGGAGCTTGTCGCCCAGCAGGAGACGATGGAGCACACAGCATGAGCACAACCCCGGGCTGACTCGGGGGGCTGACCCCGTTTTACAGAGGAGGAAACCGCAGCTCATTGTGGGAGGGCAGCCTGTACCGGGTCACACCACTTACAATGGTGGGCCCAGGATAGACACAGCCAAACAGTAACTCCTTTTCCGGTTTCTGCTTTTCCTCCTTTTGCATTTCAGGATGGAATTGACAATACAAAAGCCTTTGACTGAGGTCTGAGGCACAAGTCAGTATCCGTGGTGCTTTTTTGTTATTAGTTGCCATTGAGTCAGTCCCAACTCCTAGTGACCCGGTGTGTTACAGAGTAGAACTGCTCTATAGCGTTTTCTGGGCTGTAATCTTAACAGAAGCAGATTAGTAGGCCTTTCTTTGGTGATGCTACTGAGCAGGTTTGAACTGGCAACCTTTACGTTAGAAGTCAAGCAAAAACTGTTTGCTCCATCCATGGTGCTTACAAAATGGCAAACAGGAGAGTATAAACCTATTTGAGAGATAGCTGGAATACATGCCCAGATTGTTTCTGTTTTTTCAGATGAAGTCCCAGTCTGGATTTTTATGAGAATCACACTAATTTCTGAAACAGTGTAGGCCAAGTTAAGCACATCAGTAGGGCCTGTGGGCCACCAGTTTGAGAGGGAACTTTTATCTTTTCTGATGCTCAGTTTCCATGTTTATAAGAAAGACTTAGATATAACCATGTGTGTGAGTCCCCTGGCATCATGCCTGGCACAGGCCAGGGGTCCACCGAGTATCTGCAGGCTGCCCTTCCCCTTCTCATGATTACTTGCAGGACTTTTTTTTTTGTATTGTGATTTGGATAAAATTTTACAGAGCGAATTCGTTTTCCATTGAACAGTTCATACACATTTTGTTTCATGACATTGATTGCAATCCCCATAAGAGCTCTCTTCCTGTTTCCTCCCTGTGGCTGCCTTTTCCCCAGTGTCCTTTCCTATTCATTCTTGCCCTCTGAGCTATTTCCCTGCACAAATGCTGCCTTCTGGTTTCCCATGGTTTATTGTTCTAAGAAGTGTACTTACCCTGATGTAATTGTTCACCTTCTAGGCCTGTCTGTCGTTTGGCTGGAAGCTGTAGGAATGAATTCCATCTAGGTCCAAAGCGTGACTAGGGACCTTAGTCTTGGGGTTTCACCAGTCTCTATTAAACCAGTAAGACTTGTCTTTATGATTTTGAGTTTTGTTCTACATTTATTTCCTACTGTATTTTGATCTCTTTCCAAGTGGTTGACACTGCTAGCTGGGCACCATCTAGTTCTTCTGGTCTCAGGGTCATGTAGGCTGAGATTCCCATGGTCTACTAGTCCCTTGGACTAATTGTTTCCATGCATCTTTGATTTTCTTCTTGGCTGCAGGCAAGGAGAGACCAATTTTTGCATCTTAGATGGCTGCTCACAAACTTTTAAGACCCTGTCACTACTCACCAAAGTAGGATGTGGAACAATGTTTTTGTGTAGCATGTTATGCCAGTTGATATTGATGTCCCCAGTTGTGGAACTTTCTAACCCTCCTCCCTGTCCTGCCTCTTTGCAGAGATTTGAGAAGCTATGTCGCTGCATCCTAAGCAGCATGGATGCTGAGAATGAACCCAAGGTAAATGGGCCTGGGAGCTGGAGAATGGGCCAGCACATTCAACTGAAAAAATTCCTGTGAAGTGTTGTGTCTTTGTTCATTTACATACATATGCAGATAAGCCGTTGAAAACATTAACATGAAGTACAAATGACTCCTTGGTCTCTTCACCAGCTACTTTCTGCTTCTACTACTTACTCATAATGGAAACTTCCTTTACCTGGGCTATTTTATCTTTGGGTTAAAGTTAAAATAAGTCCTATTTGCTGCTTATTCTTCCCTACTGCCTTATCTAGCACTGGAGCCAATTAAAATAGCATTTTCCCTATAACTGTTCATTATGTTCCTTTTTTTTTTTTACCTGCTTGTAGGTGTGGTATGTGTCCCTGGCTCTTTCCAAGGATCTTACCCTCACCTGGATTAAGCAGATCAAGGCCATTCTATGGTATTGCTGTGAATTTCTTCAGCAATTAAAGGTAAAACTAATTATATCATTGCCATTTGGGGGCTTTCGTGTTTATTTTCAGAGTTCCCATGATTCCCTCACAGGTTATACCTTTGGAGATCTATCAGTCAGAGTCTAGTAAATAATGATTCATTGAGTCCCTGTTCTGAGAGTGTGAACTTAATACCTTTATTAGTATGATGAGCCCTTTGGCCCTGCTAAAGGGACAAAGAGGCAGCATCTTCTGACCTCCTGTAACTCCACAAAAGGAAGACAGAATCACCAGCAGCAGCCTAAGGCCTGTTCTTACAAGGCCAGACATGCTGCCACCCTCCAGCCCTCTTACTAACCTTGTCACCAACCATTCCTCCCACGGAATCCACCACCTCTCTGCTGGGTTCAGTAATTCACTGCAGTGGCTACACAGAACTCATGGATTATGGGGTTTATTAGGGAAGCAACAGGCTAGAATTTAAGATGAGGAACATGCTCAGTCTCTCTCAGATGGCTCTCTCTCAGCCAGAAGTCCCTCTCAGCAGTGTGTGTCTCTCAGGTCTGTCTCTCAGCAGTGAGTTTGTCTCAGTAGCAGGTCTTCCTCAGCTGGTAGTCAGAGAGACTCCTTCAGCCTCTAGGAGAGCTCCTTTTGAGCCTGGCAAAGTGACCAAACTAACCGATGCCAACATCAGAATTCTGTACACCTGAGAGTGAACTTAACAGAAGATTGCTTCCTGCCACTTTCAACAGAAGTACCCCAGGTGGATAACTTTAACAATCAGGAGCTTCTCAGTTGCTCACTGCAGATCCCACCACAGAGTTTACAACGACTATGGCTAGACAAGCCATGCTATGTAATTTACTATACTGCAGGCCCTTTTGATACAGTATATTGAACATTAATCTGCATTTAATGAGCTCTGGTGGCACAATGGCCAGGTACCCGGCTGCTAAGTGAAAGTTTGGCAATTCAAACCCACCCAGCAGCTCTGCAGAAGAAAGTTCTGGCAACCTGTTCCCATAACAATTACAGTCTAGGAAACCCTGTGTGGCATCATACTGAATTTTTTAAAAAGGGGGGCTTAACTTTAGTCTCCCACCCCCAGATCGGCTGAAGGTCCTTACCAGTTTCTTCTGACTTTCCACTTGGCAGAAGAATAGAGATGATAGTCACAAAGAGACAGCCTTTCATTGACAGAAAAAAACCAAACCCACTGCCATCAAGTTGATTCCAACTCATAGTGACTCCCATTGGGTTTCTGAGGCTGTAAATATTTACAGAAGTAGAATGCCTCATCTTCCTTGTGCAGAGTGGCTGGTGGGTTTGACCGCCAGCGATCTAGTTAGCAGTCAGATGCCTTAGGCACTATGCCACCAGAGCTCCTTAACTGACAGAATAAGCTCCAAATCAGCAGGGAGTTCTTTGCTGTTCTCTTAAAAAGAGCGCAAACCTTCCCTACCCATAGAAACAGATCTTTATACAAGTACAAAGTGATGGACTATTGAGGAAAGAGGCTAGCTGCACAGTATCACTATTATTATGATGGGCTTCTTGTTTTTAAAAGATTTGTGTTTAGGTACACACACTATACGTGTACTGAGAAAGTGGAAATACTTAATAGAAGACACTGGAAGTGGTTACCTATGACGTGAGTGATTGAAAAAAGAAAGGGCACAAATTATTTCCTTTCTACAGTGCTGTATTATTTGATGTTTTTACAGTGCTATTAAAATGCTAATAAAGAAAAATGAAAGAATATTTTAATTTTTATGTAACCAAATATTTTTCTGTTTGATTTTTACCTTTGACATCAAGTCTAGGAAGACCTTTTCTGTGCCAAGATTATGTAATTATTTTCATATATTTTAGTAGTATTATGGCTTTAAATTTTGATGTTTATACTTTTAATTGGGTGCAATTTATTCCATTAAGAGTTACTAAACCATAACACCATTAATAAAAGTCCGTCTCTGCGCCCCCTCCCCAACAAAAAAAAACCCTTTGAGGGGCAGCTTTCATGTGTCACACGGGGTCACTATGAGTCAGAATCAACGCCATGGCACCCAGTAACAGCAGCCATCTGCTTTTGCCACAGTTGTGACCCAGGTGTGTGGTCTTCCTGCTCGCTCTTGAGGTAATGCATCTCTTATGGTCTGTATTATTCTCCTGCTCAGACCTCTTGTTATAAGTTCAGGAGCCCGACATGAATGCAGCTAGTAACACATTGCAGTAAGTGAGAAAGAGAACCCTGGTTTGGTAACATGGCAGCTAGGGATGCCCAGTGCCAGGGGCTGCCAGGCTCTCCTGCTTTTCTCCCATCTCTGATCCTTTTCGGGGTCCCCTTTGCCCTCTCCTGCGATCAACATGGCAGCCACAGTTCTGGCTTCACATCCTTCCCTTGTCTTGACCAAAGAGGGAAAGGAAGCCTCCCCTACCAGAGCCAGGTGGAAATCTGGGGGACTCTTAATGGCCCAAGAAGCTCTGGTGGTGCAGTGGTTAAGGCATTTGCTGCTAACCGGAAAGTTGGCAGTTCAAACCCACCCACTGCTCTGCAGGAGGAAGAGGAGAGAATCCACTTCCATGTCCCAACCTTGGAAACCCAACAGGGGTTGCTGTGAGTTGAAATTGACTCGGTGGCAGTGAGGTGGGGTGTGTGTGTGTGTGTGTGTGTGTGTGTTTATAATAAGTAAAGCAAAAGCAAACTAGCCATGGTCATCTTGTGCTAAGAATTCTCAGTTCTCCAACCCTAGGACTATCTCAGATTCTGCAGGCAGGCACTGGTGTGCCAAAATCACCATCATTTGCTCCTCAGGTGGTTGTTCCCAGGACTGACTTGCGGTCCTGACTCATGCATTTGTGTCTGCGAATAGCTCTGCATGCGCTCAGAAATGTCCAATGGTTGCTCCACCATCTGGACTGGAGGATGTGGTTCTCATCTTCCTCTCTTAATTGTTTCCAGCCTGAAATCCTGCAGGACTCCCGACTCATCACGCTATACCTCACCATGCTTGTCACCTTCACAGATACTTCAACATGGAAAATTCTCCGGGGAAAAGGTCTGTGGGACTGACTTCCGAGTCCTTCCTAATTGGCATTGCCGTAGAGTCTGGGGGCCTTCTCTCCTTGCTACTTTCAGAGGAGACCCTGAGGCCATACAAATGAAAGCATCCTTAGCAAGACCCATCAGGTTATATCATAGTGGCCAGAAAATGTTCAGTGTTGTGTGCTGTGGTCTCTCCCTTTGGATTTATGTTTAAAGGCACAAGTCCTATGATCCTAACTCCTGTAGCATCTCAGCCTCCATGTGATTATATTCACTTAAGCCTTATTTGACTGCTAACCAGAAGGCTGGTGGTTCTAACCCACCAGCCACTCTGGAAGGAAGGTTGGGCAATCTACTTCCGTAGTGATACTGCCTTGGGAACCTAAGGAGGGGTCGCTGTGAATCGGATCCGACTCGACGGCAGTGAGATTGCATTTGAGAAATCGTTAGGCAAGACATAATTCTATTTTGCCCATAAAATTTGCATCGGGAAGCTGTGTCCTTCCCTGAAAGTTGTACTTAGCCTTAAGTGCTTCATATGGTTATTTCATTTATCTGTACAACAAATGGCTTACTTTGTGCCCACTACTGAATATGCACTGGGGATAGTAATAAGTAGCACAGAAAAGGCTACTGTCCTTATGGGCCTTCGGGTGCCTGTCTACTGCTGTGTCCTCTGCCCTTCCTCACAGAGTTTATAATCTGGTGGATAACAGACGTTAAACAAAAGTCACTCTCTTGTATAGATTCTGAGAGCATTTGAGTTCTCAGAGGGAGTAGAAAGGGCAAGACTTTGAAAACAGTGAGAACTCTGTACAGAGACCCCCAGCCAGGAAGGAAGGCTTCTTTTTGGCATTATCCTGGTCTCTGCCAGAAGGAGTTTAAAACTTACTAGGTTGCAGGCCCTGCCAGAGCGTTTGTAACCCGTTGTGGGGAGGAGGCAGCCACGGAGAGAAGAAAGTGCCGGGCCCTAACAGGGAAGCAGAAGAGGGGCTGGCAAGCTGCTAGCTAGGAGAATGAGAGCACCTGCCACTTCAGAGGCAACAGTTGAGCCAGGCCTTCCAGAAGAGGGAATTCTGGATGTACAGGACCTCCTGAATTCTGGTACTAGACGAAGAGGCGTAGGAGGACAAGCCAGAGAATCTCTCTTTTCCTTAGAGCTTTGGGCCTGGGGCATGATTCTCTGTCCCCCATACACAGTTCACATTATGGCCAGAGATGTTTCTCAGCGTTTTCTCTCTGTTTAGGTGAGACCCTCCGACCAGCCATGAACCACATTTGTGCAAACGTAATGGGACATCTGAAGCAGCGTGGATTTTATTCAGTGCTCCAGGTCTGTGTGCCCACCCCTCGTGGGTGACCTCCACGTTCTCCAGCACCTCTCGAGTTTCCATCTTAGGTTTGTTCTCAGCGTATCTGGTGGCTTCTCACAGAAACACTTTTTGCAGGAAGCATTTAAAGCCCCTCATCCTCTTCTCTCTTCCCCTGCCTTAGTCACTCATGGTTCGGGTCAGGGGAGGACAGCAGGCCTGAGAGCCCTTGACTGCTCCACATTTTTGGCTGTAGAGAGGAGTCCAGTAGCTGGTAATTTAACCTCAGGAGAGAGGCCCCAGGGCTCACTTCTTCAGTTTCCTTCTTGGTAGGCATCTGGAATTATATTTCTGCCTCGTGTCCTTAAGCAGCCTTTTTCCACTCTGCCTTACTGTGCCAGTTTGTACCGCCAGGGAATTGTCGGAAGCCTAATTATTGTTTAAAAGTACTTTGGAATTCCTGAGCT